AAGAGAGGATGTTGGGATTCCTGTGTTGCCTACGCAATCAGCTTTAGTTGACTACGAACAGCTGTGTTCCCTGGATGTTCTTGGCCTCACTGACACCCATGAAAACGATCAACTCGAAGTCTGTGAAGAATTCAAGGAACAGCTTGAGTGAACCCCAGCCAGTTGGTACTAGACAAAGTTGCCATGGAAAGCAAATCACCCTACGCTGCTGACAAACGAAGCCGGAAGTGAGAGAAGATTGGAAGCAACTAATCCGGACATTAGAACGAAATGGTCAGTACGAAAAGTACAACAGCATAATCCAGGAGCAGCCACAAGGAGTCGCCATGGCACCACCTGAAGCGCAAAGTCAAGGCTTGCCAAGAAGAACCTAACAATACCAAGACTAGAGCTGGTCACTGGACACATGGCCGTGAACCTTGTAACAAATGTGCAAGCCGCCTTGAGCCTTCTACCACACGAAGCTCACTGCTTGCTGGACTCAACTGTGGTGCTCTACTGGATCAAGGGTCAGGGGGAGTATCGAAAATTTGTTTAAAGCAGAGTGCACAAGATCCAGCAACACAAACAAGTCAAGTGGCATCATGTTCCAACTGAAGACAATCCAGCTGACCTGGGGAGTCGAGGGAGAGATGCAGTGAACAGCCACCTTTGGAAACACTGTCCAGATTGGCTCAGTTCTCCTTCAAATTGGCTACCTGTCATTATACTAAAACCTACAGCTGAAACCATGGCAGAAGTCAAAGTTAAGCGAGAAATTCTTTCCATGGTCATTCCCAAAAATGACGCTTTAGATCAAGTGCTTAGCAACCACGCCTTACCAAAGGCTCTGCGAATTGGTGTGTGGGTGTGGCGATTCATTCATAACTGCAGAAAGAAAGCAATAAACAGAATGACAGGTCCAATCAGTACCAAAGAAATACACCACCAAGAGCTGTGGTCGATCAAACAAGCTCAACAATCCTCTCACCATCAACCCAATTTCAAGCAGACAAACTTCAACTGAACCTCCAGCACAACAACCAGCAAGTCTTAGAATGCCGAGGAAGAATTATGGGGGAACATCCAATCTACCTGCCGGATGACGACCCCTTCACAGCCAAGGTAGTCTTCAAAGCTCTTTTATCCACCCTACATGGAGGAGTTGGGCTCACAATGGCAAAGGCACACGAGAAATACTAGGGTTCCTGGCTACGACGCCTTGTCAAGAAATTGAGAGGTAGCTGCCACGGTTGTAAATGGTTCCGAGCAAGAGCATATCAAGTGCCACCTCCAGGAAATCTCCCCAAGACCAGAACAGAAGGATCAAGACCATTCCAAGTAATAGGTGTAGACTTCACGGGTCCGATGAGGTACACACCAAGAGCTAAAACCAAGAGGAAGGCATACTTGGCTTTGTATGCATGTAGCCTAACCAGAGCTGTGCACTTGGACCAGCTGAAGTCCTAGAAACATCCAAATTTATCGGAAGCTTTAAGCGGTTTATTGCAAGAAAAGGCAGACCGGAGATGATTTTTTCCAATAATGGATCCATCTTCAAAGCTGCTGAGAAATGGCTAAACAAAGTACAACAAGATGAAAGATTCAATGACCTGCTAGCCGGCCTCACCATCAAGTGGCAGTAACCTAAGCCATGCCCCAGGGTAAGGAGGTAGGTTTGAGTGTCTCATTGGCCTTTTCAAGGATGCTTTTTACAAGACCATTGACAATGGGACACACCACTGGGCGGAACTAGAAGAAGCAGTACTTGATGTTGAAGTACCTCTTAACAACCACCCCTTGAGCTATCGCGAAGGAGATGTCCAGCTTCCAGTGTTAACGGCAAACTCCATGCTGCACATCAACTCATCTACCAGAAAAGGATTTAAGCAATAGAGCCAAATTTCTGCTCAAGTGTAAAGAAGTCATGTGGAAACAAATGATGGACAGCCGAGTATGTCTGAAGTCACCGAGAAAGTCACCGTCGAGCAGGAGGGAAACAAACACCCCTACCACAAGTTGGAGATGTCGTCATAACCCAAAACAGCAAGAAAAAACGGAACCAGTGGAAACTTGCGGTTGTAACTCACCTCATCAAGGGAAGAGATGATATCAGAGCTGAGGACCTGAAAACAAGTAAAGAAATCCTGGAGCGTGCAGTTCAGCATCTATACCCCTTGGAGCTAACATGTTCCCAGCTGAGCTCCACGCTTAACCCAGCAGCCCCGGAGTTTAACATCAGACCAAAGAGAGACACTGCTACTGCAGCTGCAGCATGCATACAAGAACTTTCTGAGCAATCAGAGCTATGAACATTGACACTCGTTAGAAAAGAAACACTTACCTTAGGTTATCGTTTCATACGTTTTTTCATTTTTTTGAGAATTGTGCCCAGTCCAAGAACTAACATATACGTCCCTTCCAGGAATGTACATGGGGGAGGGTGTCGGGGACTGGGGCACTCATCACGCAATCAACCAATCCAATCTTAGCATTAACTACAGGAATATGTAAGTGACCGGAAATACACACCCAACACATGTTGTTAACCCAAAGCATCGCTTTCGTCAGAGCAGTTCTTTTTCATCTGTGACCATGTGAAGACCTTACAAGAGTTGTGATATTAAAACCGTATAACACATCTTTGCGACTGGTCATGAATACTGCCTACAACAGCCAGAGAATTCCAGGATACCTATGGTGAAACAGGCAGTCGAAGCTGCCGGGCGTATTCTTGCTCGTCTACCAAAGCGTAAGGAGCCTTTGTCTGCCAAGTTAGACTGAAGAGTTGTCAGTCGCCTAGAGAAGGGTAGTGTTGCTGACATCCAGTTGGCTGTGTGGTTCTCCCTGGGATATTTTGGTTTTCTCCATTGGGATGACCTGCACTATTTGAAAGTGGACAGTTTGCATTTTGAGGAGTCCCATGTGACCATTTTTCTGGAGAAGTGAAAGAATGATCCGTTCGTGATCGTATCGTGGGTTTTTCTAGCCCATTTCATTATGCCTGGGCCATGTCCAGTTGCAGTAATGGAGAAGTTCTTATCAGTTGGAAACCATGCTAAAGAACTCACCACTGTTTCGACACGACGGGAAATCAAAGAGTGGAGTCCGTCTGAGGAAAGAGCAGATGTCTCACAGTCATGCGAAGGAGCTTCTCAAAGAAGGGTTAGACCCTGCAAAATTTGGATTTCACAGCTTGCACACGAGAGGGTCTTCAATAGCTGCTGCACTGGCTGTGCTGGATACACTTTTTCAGAGATGTGGGGGCTGGTGCAGTGAGCAGCACGGAACATTCATGTCAAGGAGTCATTGAGTTCACTTCTCCTTGTATTTAAATCAATTTAGGATGGACACTGACGCTGATATTGTTTTTTCCAATACCTATTTTATACTGCAACTCGTGTAGCTCACCAGTTTAGAGACATTGATTTTGGAACAATTGTATTTTGCTGTTGCATGGTCAGCTTGGCATGGCTCCCAGTTGTGTGAGAAGTGGGTTTTCCGCTGGCTGAGGAACAAAAGAAGGAGAAAACATTTTTCTCATGCACGGCTGGGAGGATGGGTTTGTGTGTGCAGGGGTTCTTCAGGTCACATAGCATTTCATAGTTCAGCTGTTTTTGTTGCCTTCCGCCATTTCTGGACCTTCCCCGCTCACCCACCCTTCATGTGTTTTTTGGGTTGTAGGATTTCAAGTAGTGCCTTAGTTCTGGTTATTCTTGTATGTTAATCTATTGTATCTAGGCTCAGTTTCAGCTGTTTTGTTAGCTCTCTTTTGGTGCTGCAAAACTAATGATTGGTAGTGTTGATATCATAAAGTTTGGGCTGCATGGTTGGCTTTGCATGGCTGCATGGTCGGCTTGGCATGGCTCCCAGTTGTGTGTAAGAAAGCTACTTTGCTAAACTAAATGAGTTTACAGTGGAGGACGGATGTCTTTAGAGAGGAACAAGAGTTGTGATTCCATGCTTCTGTGGACTGTCTAAAGGAACTGACATTTTATTATTTAGTGTTCATTGATACTTTTTCTTTTCCTAAGGAAGGGACGAATGTTATAATGTAATACTTTGTCAATCATGTGACTCACCTCGTGGGTGTGAGTGTTAACCTTTGTACCATTGTTACTTCTCTGCCATTAAACCAAGTTGAGTTTGTACCTGCTGAGTCATCCCCACCAAAACACTACAGTATTCATCTGACATAAGTCTAGGGTCAGGATTTCGAGAGCCCGACAACACACCCCAACCACAAATTCCCAGGAATACCCCTCCTCTTCCAATGCTGTAAGCGGAAAACACGACCTGCAATCTGCAGAAGGGCAACCTAGTTTCTTCTCTGCTGTAAAGAAACCCCAAGGAGTGCATGGTCTCTCGACAGAGTTACCAGAGCACAAGCCAACAATGACAGAATGGTGCAAATGGTGGATTTAGTAATATTGTGCAGGGAGGCTCAATGAGGCATTACTAACGACCAATTACAGACACCATCCTGCTTAAGTCAGTGAACCAATGAATCTACCTGGATCACTGACATTTTCTCCTTTATTTTTTGTTTCAGTTCAATGAATATTTCAGTCAGTAAAGGTATTGAAGAAATAACAGACGAGGAGTGTACTGCACACTATTCAACGTTATATAAACAGTCATTTTTTGTCTCACCATTGTTTCTGCTGGAGACATTGTTAGTTAATGTGTTACCCTTGAAATACTTTTAGAAAAGCATAATAGTCATTGTTGTGTTTACTCGCTAGTTTTTTTCACATCAGTCTAAGCCTATGTAAGTAATTTCCTTTTTTACCTTATCTAAAGACATTTTAAGCTTGCTGGTTATGCTGCCCTATCTTGGCCAAGACCAATGTCGGTCGAGGTAGCCAAACACCTAGTTTGGACCAGGCTGATGGATTCAGATGGGAGAAATGAGAGTATAAAGTGATCCCCGTTATAACAAAAACAGCACCTGCATTTCACTATTAGTTATTTCACACTCGTAAGAAACTGTTTGAAATGGGAAGTCAAGTTTTGCCATTTGTGAAAAGTTATTTTTGCGCAAAGTGTTTTTATAAGAGACAAGACATTTAGCAGTACAAAATTGGAAATGCAGGGAAAGCATTAAGTTCCAGTCAACATGCATAGTTCAAAAATGGTTTGTTTATGTTACTGCAGTAGCGAGAAGAGATCATAAGCACAGGATAGAAATGCACCAATCAGAGAGAAACAGTTTGAAGGGCATAGTTCCTTAGAGGGGTCATCTGTATTTGCTGCTTCTGTGACTTTATTTTCTAAATAAATTGTGTAGAGTGAAACCCATGAGCCAATACGCCGATTCAGGAAAAAACCGGAAGTTGCATGAAAGCGACGCCTAAGGGCCCTCATTCTCAAAATGGAAACATAACAACAAGATTCTTGTAAGCAAAATAAGACAAGTGCTGCACTCACATAAAATAATCGAAGTGACAATCGGCCGGATCTCACGTTTATACCAAAAAAGTTTCATCAGGTCCTCAATCAAGTAGAAGATGGGAAAAAGGAATATTGTTGTTCAGAGCATTTCATACCAAACGATTACAGAATTAGTCTTGCTGGATATAGAAAGGTCGACTTAAAAACAGGAGGCATCCCTTACTGTTTCTGCTTGGTCTGGGTCTTCAGCCGAATCAAATGTTAAAGAATAACGGGGACATAAGGAAAAGTATCCCATGAGAAAAAAGGTTAGAAGAATCGTCATTGAGCGATAAAGTACAAGCTGCTAATTTATAGGTCTTCCAGCGATCGAACAATCTGCTGTAAGGAAATGTTTAGAAGTGGAAATCCTTAGAAAATAACTTCCTAAAGCAAGGAAGAAGGAGTAAGTTTTCACGTTTGGTCTGGAACGCGTTTTGTAAAAACCAGATGATATTCACTTAGTCTATACACTGGGTTTCGAGATTATGAAACTTTACTTTACTTATAACGTTTTGGAAGTATTATTGAACCAAGCATTTCCCGTCTAACTTATTATAGCAGTGTGAGATGCCGCTCAAGTGAATACTGACGATGTTTTCCATTCATAAATGCACCTGGGAAAAATATTTTTCAAATTTTTACTTTTGGGCGAAGGAAATGAATAGAAGGAATAATATCACCCACAATTAATAGTTTGTGTGCAAACCTGTTATTTTTCTTTCCACAGAAAAGGTAATGCAAATTTCACATAATGATATAAGCCGAATGTGTCTATATTTTATCAATATTGTCTACTCTATTTGTTTTTTAAGGCCAATTTAGATAAACAATCTTTGTTTATGACTATCGTATACGACTAGTCACATCATGTCACATCAGATCATGTTGTGTAAGTTAGACCCACGAAATCCGTATGACCAACCTTCTTGACTCAAAAATGTCGCCAATTTACAACATTTTAAATTGCAGCATCATCCTACCCATGAACAATAAAGAAATGACATAAGGAGAGGGAGTAAGTATTTCCTTGTGTGAATGGACATTATAGCAGCGGTCATAGTACAAGCCCTGTTGAATTTTGCCAACCAAAATCATATGGAGAGCAACCTCTGGTCATTATGCTTAAACAGAGTCAAACTGAACGAACAGCCATCCATTTATAGCAAAACTCGCAAGCACTCTTCATTTCATGGCACTTGCCTTTCACTAGTTTGAATTCAATAAGTGCAATCAATGTTATTGCATAATCACATAAAGTGGTTTGATTCTCTCTGTACCTGTATTTTTTCCTACAGGACTCTGTTTAAATTAGCTTATATGCTAAACAAGATGTTCTTATATAAATCCATTTGTTTGAGAACCTATTTTATCTAAGCATTTTATCAAATTCAAAAACGATAACTTTAGTGCATTTACCTAATGTTACTGCAGGCTGGTAATAGCCAGCAATTATAGAAGATCAGATGAAGGGTCTGCTACATCAAGGGACTAGTCTAACTATTTAGGCAAAAAAAGGATTCCACAAATGAAATAAGACACGTAGATTTCAGGCAAATGGTACCATAATGGTGTAGAGACTTGAAGAAATAGGTCTAGGCATCTCTGTTACCCACCCCAATCCTCTCTCATAATATTTTTCTCCCTATGACCTATTTCCTTGATTGCCTTCTGAGCACCTGATGAGACAGGGCATTCAACATTCTGCCACTTTGGGATGCTTACCACCTTTTAATGATGAGTTCATCATACGTATTTAACTCACTACTAATCACTAGAAAACCTGTTGGGGGTAATTCATATTTTCAGTTGTCGTCACAAGAGATAGAATATAAAAGGGGCATTGTTTGCCAAAAAGGGAGAAATGAGATAGAGCTCACAAAAGCAGAGGAAGAAATCAAAGAACAGAAAAGGAACTTCCATGAGTAGGCAGAAAAAACTAAAAGTACCACTATCGACACCAAGCAGTTACTTGCCTGGCTGCAATTTGTGGCTAGACAGCTAGAACACTTGGCTGACCAAATTCTGGAAGACAGCAAGTAAACAGTCAGATGATGTGACAAAAATTCATGTTGCTATTTCTATTTTCATTTCCTTTTTTTATTTTCAATCATTCCTACTCTGCAACTTCCCTTTCTCTCCTTCTCTTGTATGATACACCCACAACCATGGCCAACACGTTTCTGATGTCAGCAACTGTTGTAATATTGCTTGCAATGCATCTATTTTGGGATGTCTTAAGTGAAATTGTGTGTGTATCTATGGATGGTCAAAAGTCATGTTGTAAACATAGCTGCATGCAATAGTAATGAGCAAAAATAATACCCTCTAAATTGGCTGTTAGGATAGACTTCATAACTTTCACTAACAGCAGATTCTGCGAGGGAAGTTTTTTTTTTGTTATAGGGTCAGGGGCTCAAGTTGCCACTGAGTGATAGACCCCTTTGAGAGGCTGGTAGCCTGGTGAAGGTGAAAGTAAGTGACATGAGCAAAAGGCCCAAACAGCTGGAGCTCATCCCGGTTTCCTTTCCGGCTTATCCCTACTGAAGGCTGACTTTCCTGTAATTGCTGCTATAATCGAATCCCTTCAGGAGGCAGTGGCTAATTGTATGAATTAATGAGAGAGGGGAAAGAAAAACTGCCAAAAGAAAGTATGAATCTGAATGAAAGTGGCCTGGGCAGAAGATCAGGAGACAGGGACGAAATGAGTAAAGCAACAAGCAGTGGAACGCAGGTATGGATATAAGGCAAATGATGAGTGCTATCCTTTGCTAGCATACAGTGAAGAATGTGATAGTCAAAAACCTTCTTGAGGTCTATGAAGACTACAAAGAGTGGTTGCCATTTTTCCCTGCATTTCTCCTGCAGCTGTTGGAGGGAGAACACCATATCAATAGTTGACATATCAGCTTGGAGTGCAAATTGCAATTCATTCTGAGTAGACTCTCTGCCAAACCCTGGGGCCTCTTAAGTGCTACTTGTGCAAACAGCTTCGCTATGATGCAAAGGAGAGAGATGCCATGGTAGTTATTGCAGTCACTCCTATTGCCTTTGTTCTTGAATTGGGTGACAATCTTTGCATTCCTCATGTCCTGTGGCACTTCACCTTTCTCCAGCAGAGACAAAGAGATGATGATTCCTTTGCAACACTTCAGGACTTTGGTCTTGTACCAAAAGCCATCGTAGAAGTCAGAAATACAGACACTACTGCACTGACATAGATGTATATCTCAGATTTTTCAAGCCATCAAACACTTGATATTAAATTCGATTGTTAGATAACAAAAAGGCAATGACAGAGGGACAAACAAGACATCTTTCAACATGCTTTAGAGGTTCACAGAAGTAACTGTTACTCAATTTCTATGCCAACATGAAACGCCTTGTAGGTCATCACACCAACCGGTCTATTGCTTAACATTTTTATCTATTAATGGTTGTGATCCCAACATCTTCCGAAATGAGCAAATTGCATGTACAATTCCTGTTCCCTCAGCTGACATGGCGGGCTGAAGCAGTGAAACTAGTGAAGAGCAGCTTACTGCAAATTACCATGAGAACAGACTCTCTGACTTGGCACTGAGTATTCACTATACATAACCCGTTGTTTATGATGCTGTAGCTCTAGATTATGAATGTTACTTGTTGATCCAATTTTTGAGGAAACTTACTGCACATAACCAATTCAAATTTATAACCATTATTTTAAGATTGTTCTTGACTATTTCAAGTATTTACCTGATGCCCATGTTTAAAACAGCAATAAAGAGCCATCATTTCTTTCAAAGGCTAGAAACAAGCTAGAATAAATTTATCCTTCAATATACAGGAAAATACCTTGCCAAAGATTATTTCCCCCCAGACCACCCTGGGATAGTCCATCAAAGGCTAAATCCTGGATCCACTCCAGCTGAAGTAGAATTAACTACAATATATTGCAGCAAATAACCTTCATTCAAGATCACACAACTTTTTTAAGTATCTTCACTTGCTTCATTTTGTTTCCTGTATTATTTCATCATTTCAAAGCTGTCATCAGTATTTCTTAGTAACTTGCAATTTTGTTTTTATTGTAGCAGCTACAATCGTAATTGATCTGACCAGAATAAAAGGGGCCCTGCAACTGTGAGTCTATTAGTGTTTGCCAAAAACCAGCTCATAACAACTTCTAAATGTCATTAGCATTTGCGATTTTGTTTAATCATAATGACCTTTTTGTGTTATCAAAAATATACCATATTCTTTAAATGTTTTAAGGAAAGTAGACCATGTTATATAGGTAAATGTATTTAAACACTGTCTCACACTTAACAATACCAGTGGGCTGAATGAAAAACAAAAGCCCTTACAATAGCAAGTGCTTTCATGGTTCATTTACATATCTATTATCTCTCGTACCTGAACAAAATCAAGTCATTTGAGCCAAGTATCTATGCTTCCAGTTCCGTCCAAAGTAATAAATTGAAAAAAGGATGCATGTGAAAACGTTGATTACGAAAATTAATAGTGAGGTCAATACGATCAAATTCCTTTGTGAAAACCTCCATAAACCTTCACCACTGTACACATGCCAGAAATCAGCCTAAAATTAATTTTAATGGGCCTACAGGGGTCACCTTAGGGAGAGAACTAAAAGTTGATGACTTGACAAGGGATGGCATATATGATTACCCCTCCCTTAATAACTGATTATAAATATACCGGATTATAAGAACCAACTCTGGGACAAAGTCTTTTAAGAGCCTGTTGGGTATGCTTTCAGGTCCTGCCACCAATGACACTTGGAGCTAAGAGGTAGATCTGTAGGCCCCATTTACAGAAACAACAAATTCACATGCTACAGACAACAGCAGGGGTGGCAAATGTAGAGCAAGGAGTTTTGCCTCCTTCAAAGACCTTCATGAGTTTATCTTACTATTTGCAAGAGCGACTGTAGACAAGATCCCATTTCTAAACAATTTTTGGAAGTTAGGGCTTAAAGGGTGTTTGTCTCACAGCTCGCCCTTGTCCCCTTGTACAAAATGATCATTTGACGCTGAAATTGTCCTTGAGTTGTCGTTTTGTGATGAAGCAAGAATGGTGACCCCCTTTTTTATTTCTGTTTATACTTGCTATGGCTACACGAAAAATATATATTAAGGAGATTGATAGATTGTTTCACTTTGCTGCCTATGGCAACCATTTTGGACCTCTGACTGAAAATGGAGGCCTGGATAGGGAAAGCTTGGATAGACATCTGCCATTTTGAATTTTGAATTTGTGATTTGGTTGGACAGCTTCACAAATTAATTAGAGTCCTTTGAGATTGGGATTTAGACGTCTAGCAAAGGATGAGGATGGAAGTAAAGATGTTGAGGCAAGGACTCTTGAGAGTCAGGAGGTCATGGAGAAACATTAAACCACAAAAGACACAACCAAAAAGAAATACGAAGCAAACTGAAAGATGCTTGGCCCTGGATATAGAAAAGAATGGCTAAGCTAGTTAAGTTGGCTGGAATACAGTTAAGACCAGGGGCAGATGAGCTGTGCATTTTGTAAACAGTTTCAATGGCTTTACTGCATCCATTCTATAGCTTAAAATTTAAAGCTGGCTGTCCTTGATGGTATCAAAGAGGAGAATAAACTTTCTTCCATCAAGGAAATGCTTCATTCTATTAACAAACATTACCACTATTCTCCTACCGCTCTAAGGGTGCTCAAAGAGCTTGCAGAATTTTTGGAAAGAAAAGAAAAGATTCAAAGCCTATCAACTTGAAAGGAACTAGATAGGTGCCACATTTTACCGAGCTCTTCAGGTCTTCATTAAGGCTTCAGAACCATCCACTCTCACTTTGGCAACACTGTTGCAACTGGAACTAGTGGCATTGAAATGCAGGGAAGGGCGAAAAATATTCTGAAAATACAAGAGAAATATGCAACAGTTGTGTTTGTATATTTCATGGTTGAGGTCTTAGAATGCATCTCAAAGTTCAGTTGCCTCTTCCAGACATCCAGAGGAATGATATCACCCTAACCTCTGCTAGAGATTGGCTGCAGCAGACTGTACTGGAGCTGTGTCAAGGTTGCCTTAAAAACATTGGAAATGGGAATGACTATAATGGCGTTACACTCACAAGATGTGCAAATGACCTTGCTCAGTTCAACATTACCAAGCAAGGAATAATCAACACCATCATCAGATATTTGGAAGAGAGGTTCCAGTGTCTCCAAGGTGATNGCTCTAAGGGTGCTCAAAGAGCTTGCAGAATTTTTGGAAAGAAAAGAAAAGATTCAAAGCCTATCAACTTGAAAGGAACTAGATAGGTGCCACATTTTACCGAGCTCTTCAGGTCTTCATTAAGGCTTCAGAACCATCCACTCTCACTTTGGCAACACTGTTGCAACTGGAACTAGTGGCATTGAAATGCAGGGAAGGGCGAAAAATATTCTGAAAATACAAGAGAAATATGCAACAGTTGTGTTTGTATATTTCATGGTTGAGGTCTTAGAATGCATCTCAAAGTTCAGTTGCCTCTTCCAGACATCCAGAGGAATGATATCACCCTAACCTCTGCTAGAGATTGGCTGCAGCAGACTGTACTGGAGCTGTGTCAAGGTTGCCTTAAAAACATTGGAAATGGGAATGACTATAATGGCGTTACACTCACAAGATGTGCAAATGACCTTGCTCAGTTCAACATTACCAAGCAAGGAATAATCAACACCATCATCAGATATTTGGAAGAGAGGTTCCAGTGTCTCCAAGGTGATAAGTTTATCAGGCATTAACAGTTTTCAGTACTTCTCAACAGCCAGATGAAAGGGCTACCTTAGCTACTTATAGAAAGAACAAGACTCAGTTTATTGTCAATCATTTTAGAGTGTTGCTTGAAAAGAACAACTTTGAATTTGCTACAGTCAGCGGGGAATGGAGTGGACTCAAAGTATGGATGGCCAACAACTACCTCCATCTCACATCTAAGGCATCATGGAAGAGAGTTTCAGTCACCATAGGGATAGATTCCCTCATGTGCTCATGCTGGTTGAGATTCTTCTAGTACTACCACTTTCAACAGCATGTTGTGATCATGGGTTCTCCATCATGCGCAAAATCAAATCTGACTGGAGATCTTGCTTGTCAGTTGAAATTCTTGACTGTCTTAGGATAGAAATGGAGGGCCCCTCTGTCGTCGCATTTGACCCAGAGAATGCCTTGCAGTTTTGGTGGACAAGTAGTGCAAGATAGAGGCAACCAATTTTTAGGGACTAAATAATACAGAACACAGCTTTAAAGGAGAAACGTTTTTAATTGACTATTACTTACTTATACTCTTCCTTACATGTCACGACTTTTTATTGCAAGCACATTTTGAGTTCTAAAGCTTTTAGCAATGTAAATTTTTGGTATGGAAAGTAAAATATGGGAATCACTGCAATCGCTTATTCTATCTTTTAAATGTTTAAACTAGATGGTCCAAATTATATCTCCCAATTTTTCACACCTTGGTTAACTAAATACAATTTACAAGACAGTGGCTTAAATGTTGTGCAGCCTCCATATAACAGCCTTGTCATGCACAACTCTTATTTATACATGATTGCCCACATGTGGAATCAACTACCAACTGTCACCAAATCCTCAAGCACTTTAGCACAATTTCGTGCTTGCCTGAATAATGTTAATTTCGCAGGGTGCCACAGTATGAACTGTATATAATTTTATCTATGTTTACATACTCTTGGGCTAGCTTACATATATATATAGAGATAGATAGATACGTAGACTTGAACTAGGTCAAAAACATTTACTTGCTACTCAGAGTTTCATGCTTCATGAGAAGCAATCATCAGGCTACTGCCAAAAAGAAACAATACATGGTGTTTTATAGTGATTTAGAGTGATTTTGAAAAATCGGTAGTGATTCATAACAGGCTGGGTTGCATAGCAACGGATAAACAATTTTCAGTAAACCGCTGAAAAAGAAAAAATAAAATACGTCTTACAGGCTTAAATGATCACGTTATTTAGAAGAAATTTCTTTGCATGTCTCCAACTTGATATGAGTTCATTTCTGTTGTTTAGGGTCACCATATTCGGTCTACAAATTATATAGCACTTCTCCCACAGACATAAATTACACTTCTTCGTTACATTTGAATAGGATCTTGCATGTCTAAAAAACATCCAGCGTCCTGAAATGGTTCAGAAACTTAGACCACAAAGAAAACCTCTCATTCATAT